CTGCTCTTGCCATGAACTCTTTTCAGTGATCTCATCCACTTCTATGGCCATGAAGGCCATCTCTGTGCTGCCAACTCCAGAAATTTTATCTCTAGCCAACACCTGACACATCCATTGAAATCTCTAAAAGATATCTCAGACTTAGTGTGACAGAAACTACACTCTTCACTTTTCTATGTCCCTAAACAAACTCTTTCTCCACATTGGCCTAGCTCAACAAATAGCCCTCAACCCACTCAGTTAATCATGACAAAAACCCAGGGCTGGGGTCGGCCAAGTGGTTAGGTTCGTGCGCTCTGCTGCAGCGGCCCAGGGTTTCGCCAGTTCGGATCCTGGGCGCGGACATGGCACTGCTCATCAGGCCACGCTGAGGCGGTGTCCCACATGCCACAACTAGAAGGACCCACAACTAAAATATACAACTATGTACTGGGGGGATTTGGGAAGAAAATAAAGCAGACAACAAAAGATTGGCAACAGTTGTTAGCTCAGGTGCCAATCTGGAAAAAAAAACCACCCAGGGCTGTCCTTGATAACTCCCCTCACTTACTGCCCAAGCCGTGTTCATTCTCCCATTGAAATATTTCTTAAATCCATCCCCTTCCTTCCACCTCCACCTTAACTACACTGGTCTGAACCATCAGGGTCCCTCACCTGGACTTCTGCTGTAACTGCCAGCAAGCTCCCCCCAAACCCCTCTTATCCTTCTTCCCTGGCTCATTCTTCAGCCAAATCTTTTGAAAATGTAAATTCAGTTGATATTTTTCTACATGAAATCCTCAATTAGCTTCCCTTTGTACGTACGTAAAACTCTCATCTTCTACCGTGGTCCACAGGCCCTGGATCACCTGGCCCCACCCACTGCGCCTGCCTTGTCTCATTGCCTCTGCTCATCAGCCTTCAGCAGCGCTGGCCTTCTTCCAATTTCTGCAACACACACCTTTCTTTCTATCTCAGGCCATGGGTACATGCCTTCGCTCTGCCTTGAACAATCCCTGCCTCCCCCTCGGCCTAGCTAACCCATCTCACCCTTTTGTGTCTCTTTTTAAATGTCGTTTTCTTACAAAAAATGTCCCTGTTGCCCCTATCTAAATCAGGTATTTCAAATTTCTAATCATCTCCTTTTATTCCTTCCCTACGTTTATCAATTTTAAAATATCAGTTTATTTTTGTGATTAATGCATACGTTCATCTCACTTGAGAGATTACAGATTTCCTGAAAGCGGAAGCTGTCGGTTGTGTTCCTACTGCTGCTGATGGAGGGGAGTGGGGGGGGCGGCACCCAGCTGCGGCCTCCTGATCCTGAATCTTGCAGGACTCTCCCCTTCCCAGCCTCCAAGCCACCTTCTCTCCTGGAGTATCACAACCTTCTCTGCCCCTAGAGGACAGTCACTCCAGCAGCTCTGAGGATGGGCACAGGCAGCCAGGCCACTTCACGGCCCCTCCCACAGGATGCGGGCTCTGAGGCCTAAACCTCATTGGCGTAGATGGGCCAAAAAAGAAAAAAAATTGCTGTCTATAATTTAGTCCCCTTACTACAGCTCTTATATCCAGGGTGGCTTCCTGTGCCCACCTACACCCCTTCCAGGGAAGTTTCATTGGTGCCATTTGTAAAAGGCCTTAGTTAACATCCTGGCTGCACAGGGTATCGTTATGGGCTGAATATGTGTCCCCCTGAAATTCCTGTTGAAGCCCTCACCCCTAGTGTGATGGCACTTGGAGGTCCGGCCACTGGGAAGCAATCGGGTTTAGAGGAGGTCGTGCGGGTAGGCTCTCCATAAAGGGATTGGTCCCTCCTAAGAGGAGGCAAACAAAGAGCTCTCTCTCGGTGCACAGACACAGAGAAGGGCGGCGTCTCTGAGCCAGGGAGCGTCCCTCTCCAGAAACGCCATCTGCCAGCACCTGAGCTGTGAGAAATAAACATCTGCCGTGTAAGCCGCCCAGTCTGTGGGCTTTTGTTGCAGCAGCTGAAGCTAACTAAGACAGGTGTTTTACAAACATTGATTTTAGGGCTTCAAAAACCTATTGAATCAGAACCTTTTGGAGGTGGAGCCAAGAAATCTCTATTTTTAATAAACTCCACAAGTGATTCCTATGTAAGACAGCCCAGCTCTGATGTCTGGACCTGCTGATCTAGAGAAAAGTGCCCAAGATTAGAAATCAGAAGACGTGTTAGAATTCTGCTCTCTCAATTATTGGGTGTGGCACTTGGGGAAGTCATTTAATATCTCTGATTTTCCGTTTCTTTTTCTGTAAATTTGGAGTCAGAAAAACATCTGCTTCAAAGTGTAGCTGTGGGCTCCAGCGCACAATCTATTTTAAAACACTTTGCAAACTGCACAGTAAAGAAATGTTAGACTTTCCCTCTGTTCTGTGCAGGACTTGCCTCATCACCTCGGACGACCTGCCTGGCGCAGCCCACACTTCCGCAGTGAGCCAGGAGCCCTCCCCACACGTCTGAAGAGGGACTAATTACAGCAATTCACAGAGCCCTTGCTTCTCCAGAGTTCCAGCCGTCGGTATTTAGATTCACGTCGCACATAGCCACCCTTACCGGCCCATTAGCGGCTGGGGAAGAGCGGAGCCCAGGCAGCAGCGGCGAAGGCAGGAGGACAAAGCTGGCCTCGCCTCCACGGGCGATGAGGGTTGAGTCTCCAGAAAGTCACAAGGAAAGGCCACAAGCAGGAACTGGACGACTTCTGGGCAGCTTCTTAACTCACAGTCACATGCTGAATCCTTTGAACACATCAACTATTGTGGCAACGGCAAAGTCAAGAAAACTGGATTCTCTAGCAGACGTGTAAAGAAAAAAAGTGAACTCTCCAATTTAACCGACTTGCTGTGTGAATCTAGGAGAATCCTCCCGCCCCCTTGGCTCTCAGGTACCTCATATGTTGGACCAGATGAATGTATAAACGAATAAAGGAATGAACCCAACTGCGTGCAAGACCCCTGCTGGGCACGTCTGTTTTTGTCTTGGAACAAACACCCAGTCATCCAAGCCAGATGCAGTCACGCGCCGCATCACGACGTCTTGGTCAACAACAGACCACACATTCGACGGTGGCCCCATGAGATCAGTACCATAAAGCCTAAGTGTGTAGCAGGCCACATCTTCTAGGTTTGCGTGAGTGCGCTCTGTGATGTTCGCACAACACTGAAATCGCCTAATGACGCAGTTCTCAGCACGCATCCCCGTGGTTAAGCGATGCCTGACTGTACCCTGATCTGGTGATCCCTCCAGGTCATCCTAATTCCCCATCTTCCCACCACCCCCCATCCCCACCACACTGCCTGCTTCAGCCCCTCGTTATTTCTCACCTGGAATGTTTCTCCGGCTCCTAAACAGGTCTGCCTCCTTCCATTCATTAAGTTATTCATCCATCCATCCATTCATTCATTCATCTAAAAAACATTAAGCATCTTCTCTGTGGCAGGCATTGTTCCAGTGACTGAGGACCTGGTGTTGAACAACACAAGTCCCTGCCTTCAGGAAGCCTACGTTGTAGTCAGGGGAGAGGATCAAAAAACTGGTTAACAAATACATATGAAATCTCATTTGAAGTAATGGAAAGTGTTATTAAGAGAACTAAAGTTGGGTGAAGGAATAGAGCGTGCAAGGAGAGCTCTATTTTATTTAGGGGAGGCAGGCAAGAGCCATCTGGGGAGGAAGTATTTTAGTAGGAATCTGATGTGGGAGTGGAGGGAAGCAGTGGGTCATGTGAAGACCAGGCAGAATTCTATTCTAAGTAGAGGAGGAAATTCGTGCAAACGTCCTGAGGTGTAGACAAGCGTAGTGGGTTCTGGGAATAACAAACGGAGACCGATGGGACTGGAATGGGGTGAGTAAGAGGGGGACTCCTAGAAGATGGACTTAAAGGGTAGGCAGGGGTCAGAATCACGTGAGAAAAAGAGAGACGTTAAGCCTGGCTGCATGACTTCTGCCTGAGCAGCTGAGAAAATGGCGGTGCTATCTACCCGATGAGGAGGACTTGGGGAAAACGTGGATGGGTGCAAATTTTCAAGAGTGCTGTTTCCACCAGTTTTGACAGGCTTATTGGATAACCAAGTACACATATCAAGTAAAATGCTGGGTAAATAAGTCTGAAGCTCAAGGGAGAGGTATGGGCTGGAGAGGTGAGTCTGGAGTCATCAGACATTATTTAAAGCCGGGGACTAGACATGGGAGGATTAACCATGGGGCAACTACAACAAGGCCAGAACTAGAGGAGGAGAAGCGTCCAGAGGAGATGAGAAGGAGCAGCCAGCGAGGTGGGAGGAACACCAGGAGGGGGTGTGGGAGCCACAGAAAGAAAGCATTCTAAGAAAGTGAAAATGGTCACTGTATCCAACGCTGCTTCTTTTAATAGAGGATTTAAATCAACTTCTATTTATTTGAACACTGAGGTATTTGGAAGTCTTTCTTATTGTTGGGTGTAAACAGAATGGTTTCATTTTTCCAAGCGTTGCTTCCACACTGTGCTCTGTCGAGTCCCTTCTCCCACTGGGTCCCGGCTCCCTTAATGGCATTTTTGCCAGGTTACTCAATTTTCAACAGCTTTTGACTAACAGCACAGTCTAAATCTGTTTTTAAAAACTTAATTCTGTTTATCTAAAAACAAAGTTTTTGCAAAAGGCATACCTTTCATTTGAAAAAAAATTCAGTGGAAATTTTCTAACATGTAAAAAACTAGAGAAATCCTCTTCATTTTAAACCTCAATCTTCTCTCAGGTTCAAAGTTCTCCTCCAGAGGCTGGAGGGGGACACGTGGGGACCTACGATGCCCTGCTGTCAAGGGGCTCACTCCTGAGTGCATCTTCAGGGCACTTGCGCTCCCTTTGGAGCTGGGACCGCATCTTCTGCCCCTCCTGTCATTGGTGACATCACACATTCCTCTGATGCCTGGATTCTCTCTTCATCCTCCACTCTCTCCTGCCTGAAAAGACCACCGACCCCCCCCCCCCGCCCCCCACCAATATTATCTCTGAGCCCATCTTCCATACCTCTCAGGGACTCGGAACGAGGGCTGGGGGGCAGCAATCTCCCCCCAACTTAACCTCTAGTACCCCTCGGATTTCTAATTGCATTATATCTTGTTTATTTATTGATCTATTCATTTATTTGCTCAACAACGTTTATCGAGTGCCTACTTTGGGTCAGCCCCTTGCTTGAAGTGGTGAACAGCAGACATGTTTCTGCCATGATGGAGCTCACAGTCCAGCAGGGAAAACAGGTGCTAAGTACGTAATGATGCTGAACTGTGATGCTGCATTATGCATTGTGCACACACGGATACTCATCTTTTAAATTCAGTTTAGACATCGTCTCCTCCAGGCAGTCTCTCCAGATTCTCCTGGTTGCGTTAGGCACCGTCCTATGTGCCCTGCTGGCATCCTATAAATGTCTCTGTCCTACCACTTCACACACTGTGCTGCCACTGTAGATGAGGCTGTCTTCCACCTTCCCTACAGTGAATGGTGGGCTTCAGAGGCGCCAGGATCGTCTCATTTCCTTCTTAATCCCTAGCTCAGTTCCTGGTACATAATAGAGTCCAATAAATGCGAAGTAAAAGGCTGACTGAAGAAACATTTTCTTTATTGGGTCTTTCCAAGGAGGGTCCCAATAAATGTCACTTCTGAACGATTTAAGAAATAATTCAGGAGTAAAGACACAGACCGAATACGACCTTTAGGAGTGCTGGAGGCTCTGTTGGAGGATGTAGCTTAGCTGAGGACCAAATGGGGCTGCCAGGGAGCCACAGCAGTAGGCAGATGCCCACCCAGGTGAGGGGCCCTAGGGGCCGGGAGGGGGTGGCTGAAGCGCAGCGGAGCGTGCTCCCCGGTGGGGGGTGGGGAGTGGGGGGCGGGGAGTTGTTCCTCGCTTGTCCAGTCAACCTCCCAGATCGACCCCGAGAGAAAGGGCCCCGCCCCCAGGGGCAGAAGGTGCTGATGGGGGAGAGAGGTCCGGAACATAGAGGCCGCGCTAATTTGCCCTTTACGGGAAGGAAACACCAGACAGATGTCAGCAAGAAATGTTCCCTGTGACCAGCTCCACCCTTTCTCCTATGTTTGTTCACTCTTTACAAAAGCCGATGGAGGTGTCCCCTCATCTACAGAGGAGGAAGACGAGGTTCGTCATAGCTAAGACCCTCCTCGGAGGCTGCGCGTCGAGGAGGTGGGAGAGAGAGCGGGTTCGACTGTGATGGGTAATTAGACCGAGGTCTCTTCGGGCGCCTGTGCGCTGGGCCCTGGAGAAGCGCGTTGGCACCTCTCCCCACGACAACCCTGTGCGGCCGGTAGCTTTAGACGCCGTTTCCTAGGTGAGGTCATGAGGCCCAGGCCACGCCCGGGGCAGCCCTGCGCAGCCTGGTTTGCCTCCAGGCTCGCCCGTCAGTCCAGTGAGGGGATCGACAGACCCCCCCCAAACCACAGGACCACGGCTCCCCCCTACCCCGAGCCGGAGGGCTCACTGCTGCAACACGGAGACAACCTCTGGGGCTGGCTTTGAATCGTGCCCCTTGTCAGCCGTGTGATCCTGAGCCTTGGCCCCGGGTGACTCCCGGGTCGCAGAGATGGACAGACCCGAGGGAAGTGGGCTGCGGCCCGCGGCCAAGCCCTGCAGCGGGTGAGGACCGGGCGACGCCAGCCGAGCTTCGTGTCCTCTCTGGTGTGCCCAGCAAGGCTGCGCCCGGTGCCCTGCCCTGTCCGAGCCCTGAAGGGATGCCTAGAGCCCCTCTCTTAGTGGGTGGCACTGGGGTCCCATGAGAGAGCAAAGAGCAAACCCCAGGCGGGGGCCGGGCGGGTCGAAAGGGCAGCTGGGGGCGGGGTCTAACCGCTTCTGAGAACGCTGGTATCTCGCTTAATCCCCTTAACAAACCTGAAAGGCAGCATTACGTCTGTTTTCAGAGCCGTGAAGCGAGGATAATGAAGCGGAACAAACAGGCAGTAGGAGGAAGTGAGTGGGATCTGGGCAGGTGGAGGAGTAGAGAGAAGCGGGTCCCTTCCCCTGCTCTCAGGCGCCCCATCCTGCACCAACTGTGTCCCGGGGCAGGGGTGAATCCTGGATGTCAGAGGTCTGGGTGCCAAGTTGGCGATGTTATGCCCATTGATGAAGGGCGGAGGTCCTGCCTGAGGTCCCTGCTGGGGGAGGGGGTGAGGAGAGGCTGGACTTCAAGCCAGCCTGACTCCTGCACCAACGGGGCCTCTTTTTCCCATATACTTGTCACTTAAAGTGTTACCAGAACCAGCAGCTTCAGCATCACCTGGAAGTGTGTTAAAAAGGAGCACTCAGGCCCTGCCTCAGGCTTCCTGGCCAGAATCTGCCTCGCAGCAAGATCCCCAGCTGATTCAAATGCCCATTTACATCTGCGAAGCCCTGTCCTTCACTGTGTCTAGATTATCCCAGAGTTCCTCCTAAGGACTCCCAGCCTCTCTGGGTTCCGTCACTGGTGGGCGTCACTGTGACCTCCTGCGGGAGGCCTCTCCTGCTGCCTGAGCTCTGGGGCCTCCTGGGCACGCACAACTTGCATCGCCCCTCCGGTTCTTTGCCCGGCACCTGGGATTCTCGGCTCCTTCTTGCCCTGTCTCCACCCCAGCTGCTGAGTCCCTAGGGTACGAGAGTGCGGCACCACCTGCTGTCCACTCAGAAAGCCCCCTCTGCTGCAGTCTGCAGACCTTGTCTCATTCTGATCTTCACACGACCCCTCAAAGTAGATATTACTACCCACGTAACGGAGAGACTTGCCCAAGTTTTCAGAACTAGTTTAGTTCAGGGGAAGGGCTCCTCGCAATGCTCTCTTTCTCCACCTCTTCCCCCAAATTGAAAACCTCACTGCCAGTCTGGAGGTGCTGAGACCCGGGTACAGTACTTTCTTTAAAGAGGGCTTGCGGCTGTTACAAGACTCAGTCATCTGGAGCCCCTGCTGGCCTGTACACACCCTGGGGCGAGCGGCCAGCCCAGGGGGCTTTCCTCTGCTGGCGGGAGCTCAGCACTCCAGCGGAGGGCACTGAGCCGGAGACGGCAGCCTTGGCCTCCAGCCTCAGCTGGACTCACTTGCAGTGCGACTTTGGGAAAGTTAGCTTGTGTGTGTGAAGTACCGCTTACCTCAGCACCCTACACAAAGGAGGCCCTCAGTAAGTGGCGATTCCTATTGTCCCTGGGCCTCAGTTTCCCCCTCTGGAAAGTGAAGATGTTCTGCTGGAATCAGTTGTTTCACAGTGCAGTCCAAAGAGTTTTGGGGCTGTCAGTCTGTGTCTGTGCTGGATTCCGGCTGAGACGGTGGTACCGAACCTCCTAGGCTGGAGTCCGTGTGCCCACTGTGCAGCAGGCCAAACACTGAGACCTCCGTGCTTAGAGATGGAGAAAGGTTTATTTAATTGGCCAAGATGAGAAGGCAGAGCAGGGGTTCTCTCAAATCTGCCTTAACAAGAGAAGAAGGCAGGGAGTTTCACAGAGCTACAGGGTGTGGCAGGAGGAGTTTGAGAGAAACAAAGGGGTCACTCCCAATAAGCCCCTGGGCAGTCTCACTCCCTGGCAGCCGGGGGCTGGTTCCCTGGTGGTCCTGAAGGCCTTCTCTTTCTTCTATAAAACTGGCTCATAAATCCTAGTGACACTTGAGTTACCCCTCAGGTTAGGAAAACAGCAAATTGACGAGATTAACTTCTTTTCACAGCAGGTCGAAAGGCCATCCTGTTGAATATTCACAGTAACCTTAGGTATCCCCAGTCAACAGGAAAGAGAAAGCAAACCGGTGCCTGTGCTGCCCTGATTTCAACAGAGCAGCCAACCTTTTATCCATTTCACAAACAAGCTTCCTCACGAGACCTTCTGTAAATGTATATATATATATATATAAAATAATTTTGAAAATCCTTATGCTGAATAGTCTCCAAAAATCCTTGTGCTGAATAATCTCTGCAGTCCTTACAGTTAGGACAGGCTATGATCCAGGCCTGATTTTCATGTCTTGGGATTTATTCATTGAGACACTAAACAAGTATTTATTGAGTGCCGTGAAGTTGTTTACTGAGTGACAGGACCTGATCACTGTTTTGCTGTCGGGGAAACAGGCCATGGGAGCATGTGTATGACAGAAACCCTAGTCCTTTTCTCTGTAGCAGCAGAGCCTGAGTTTCAGCTGGACACCTGGCTGCACAGAACACACCTGCATTTCCCAATCCCCCAGGTAGCTGGATGTGGCTGTTTGGCTGTATTTTGACCAGGGGGTATAAATGGAATGGTGGGTACAGTTTGTGGGCTGTGCAGTTAGAGTAAGAGGGCATGCCCTCCCCTTCTCCATTTCTTCCTGCCAACTGGACAGAATGCAGACTTGAGCGGTGAGCAATGGGGTCATGCGAGCAAAGGAAACACCCTAGGGAGGGTGGGGCCATGAAAACAAGGAGCCTGATGCCATGGGACTGCCCCACAAGTCCTGAGCTCCTTCCGCCCTGCAGCTACATGAGTGAGAAACAAACCCTGTCTTGTTTAAGCCACTGTTTATTTGGGTCTCTGTTAGAGTAAATGAATATGTATATATCCTCACACACATGCAGTAACAGAGTGGGCACGAGTGGGACCAGAGAGACCGGTTAGAAGCTTTCGAAATAGCCCAGGCAAAGCCGGTGGTGGTTTGGGCGAAGGCGGTAGCTTTGGAGGTGATGAGAAGCTCCGGTTCTGAAGATATGGCCAAGATACAGGTGATGATATTTGCTGATGGAGTGAATGTGAGGTATTAGGAAAAGAGTAGAGTCGTGGATGATTCCAAGATTTGGAAGAATCTCTTGCCAGATGGAGAGGATTAGGGGAGGAGAGTGCCTGAGGTTGCAAATCAGGAGTTCATTTGGGGACACGTTAAGTTTGAAATGCCGAGTAGACATCCAATGTTGATTAAGCATTTGGATACAGATGTCAAGATTTAAGGGAAGCAGGACCGGTCTGGTAGTGTAGTGTTAAGTTCGTGCGCTCCACTTCAGCGTCCTGGGGTTCATGGGTTTGGATCCTGGGGGCAGACCTTCTTATCAAGCCATGCTGTGGCGGCGTCCCACATACAAAATAGAGAAATGTTAGCACAGATGTTAGCTTAGCAACAATCTTCCTCAAGCAAAAAGAGGAAGAATAGCAACAGATGTTAGCTTAGGGCCAATCTTCCTCACCAAAAAAAAAGATTTAAGAGAAGAGAGAATTGACTTATGTATAAAAACAGACCTCTTGGGCAAAAACGTAGGGAAAAAAAGTAGAATTTCACAGTGAGAATCTAATCAAGCTGCTGCCTTGTCATTTTCTGTGGTTGTAATATGGCTTTTAATTAGCCATGTCTACAGACCCCTCGGCACTGGGAAACCCACAGGACAAATTACGGCTTTGTGCACCTTGGAGAGTGTATCCTGACGTCTGAACAGCTCAGATTCCAAGGCACATAGTTACTGACAAATAAAAATGGCAAGCAATAGGATATATTGGAGTATATGAGGAAGCCATTTGGGATAAACCTAATTCGGCCTGACTTTGTTTTTCCAAAAGGGGCTGACTGTGGCCATTGAGCATGCATTGTATGTCTGCTTAGACATTTTGAGATAAAGGTGCAACTTCCCTCCCCCTCCCAACATTGGCATCTCCTTAAAGATTAAGCATCTTTCTTTAGGCTGGGAACTGATTGCAGCGCTCATCTGTGACAGCCCAGCTCAAGGCAACAGACCTGCCAGCCTGTGGGGTTCACTGAGACAGCAGGCCTATCTGCTGTTTCCATCAATCGCTGTGCTGACAGAGCAGCCTCGTGACTATTGTAAAAGGGACATTTCAATCATGTGTGAAACATACTCTTTGAGGGTATATAACCACCCTTATACCCCCACTTCTTTGGAGTGCTCTGTTCCTTTGTGGAAAGACTCTCCTGGGTTATAATCCTCAGATTTAAGCTCAGAATAAATTCACCCAAATTTTCATTTATAGATTGGTTATGGATTATTTTCGTCGACATTACCCTCTGAGAAAGCTTTTCAGAGTGAATGGCATTTGGGAAAGTTGGGAAGTTGGGGAACTGGATTTTGAACACATAATGGAAAGAAGAGTGGTCAGAAGTTCGGGCTTGGAGTCCTGAACTCTGTCTAGGGACCTGATGACATGGGACAAGTCATCTAGTACACATACTGTACGTTTACCCGTCCATCCATCCAGCATCTGAATAGAATATCTCCAGTGTTGTTTCCTTTCTCCTGAATCTCCCCCATCCCTACACCGTATGCTTGGGCTGTGCTACTTATTGCCCAAGTCAGATAAGAGAGGAAAACACCTGGAACGGAAAAAGCTATAGAATACAAAAGAAAGAAGATAAGAAATAAAAGCCTATCTATCCAGTCAGAAGTGGGTAATAGAAAGCTCTTCTGGCCTCAGAGTTCGGGGCAGTGGACACAGAGGGCTGCGCTCTCTGTAGCAGGAGCTGTTTTGTGAGAGAGGTTTGGGGACAACAGTCATAATAGTTTGCTTCTTGTTTCTCAGGGTCTGGCTCTGGGAAATTTCAAGTCCTAGGTTCATTATGGCACCATGTCCAACACAGCGTGGTAATAGCTAAGGAGGGGGTATAAGGGCAATGTCACAAAGGCTGCACACCAGCTTGGGCTAGATCGAGAAACAGAGCGTTCCTGGAAGCCCCAGCTGTGGGGTCAAGAGCTAAAAGTTACAGGCACCTCGCAACTAGAGGAAAAAGCCTTTAGCATCAGGGACCGTGGATGGATGGATGACACCTGGAAGACCACAAGTATTATGAACGCCTCATAGACATCCTCAGAGGACCCAGCGACCGAGCTAAACCTGCCAGCCCGCTGGAGTACACTGAGAACTGTGGAGCTCTTGGACCAGGGTCTATCCGCATTCGTACTCTTTTCCCTGCCACCTCCATCACCATGTGGATGCATGAAACTCATGCCTGCACCCAGCCGCCATCTTGGGAAAGACGGCAAGGGAGAGCCTTTTGAATGAAGAGAGAAACAGTATTGATAGAGGGCTTGAGTTTAAATTATCAACCCTAAGGCAACTGAATTTGGCAGAAAAAGACTGCATGAGTCCAAAACAAACTGAGTTGCCTTTAAGTGGCAAGTTTAAGGATTATTTTCCACCATCAGTAGGAATGCGGATGCAAGAGCAAAATAAGATCAGTTATTGCCAAAGAAAATTATGTTATTTTCCACGTCAGAGTTGTGTGGAAATTTTTAATTTTCTGCTATTATTCTTTCGTTTATTCACTCTTTTACTCATCCCACAAACATTTACTGAATGCCTTCTTTCTGTCAGGCCCTGGAGAGGTAGATGAAGAAGATTTTTCTGCCCTCAAGAAGCCGAGAGATTGGGGTGGAGGCGCTGCCCCGATCCCAGAGTGAGGTTAGCAGGGCTGTGACAGAGGCCAGCCCAGGGGAGGAGCAAAGGGCACTTGCCCAGCCTGGGCAGACAGTCAGGGAAGATTTGCCAGAGGAGCTGGTGCCTGACCTGACTCTTTAGGATCAGTGGGAGCTGACCAGGTGGCAAAGGACAGACAGGAATCGTGGCATTCCTTCCTGTGTTTATTTATTCATTTATTCGTTTAACTAATACTTTTTGGGTACCTGCTAAATTCAAAAACTGATCTAAGCAATGGAAATGCAGCAGTGAATGAGAGCCCTGCCTTTATGGAATGTAAATTCTAATAGGAGAAAAAGAGATGGTAAAAATACAGGAGGATAAATATGTAATATAATATCAGATAGTGATAAATCAATGAAGAAAAAATAAAGCTGAGTAAGGAGACAGAGGGAGGCCAGAGTGGGAGGTGAGAAAGGGGCCAGAGGCTATTTTGAATAGGGTGAGAGGGGAGGCCTCTGATGAGGTGAGATTTGAATGGAGATCATTGGAAATGAGAGCGTTAATCATGTGACCATCTGGAGGAACAACATTTGAGGGAGAGGGAACAGCAAGGGCAAAAGTCCTCAGTCTGGAGTTTCCTTGACAAGTTCAAGGAGCAGCCAGGAAGTCCAAGTGGCCGGAGCTGGAAGGGGAAGGAAAGGGAGGCAGGAAATTAGGTTGGAAAGGTATCCAGGACCAAATCAGACAGAACCTTGCAGGCCATGATTAGAAGTCTGGATTTTGTTCTGAATGTGAAGAGAAGCCATTGAGGTTTCAAGGCATGAGATGGTAGGGAGCATTTGGGGACTTACAGGGAATTTGATATTAGACTGTAAAGTACACAGTAGAGATCATAAAGGAATGAGCCAGAGAGGTAAGCTGGAAAACAAAATAAGAGCATGGAACACCAACCAAAGAGGCTGGAGTCATCATCTAGGTGAGAGCTGATGACGGAGTAGTTGCAGCCAGGCTGAGGGTGAAGAAGAGAAGTGGAAGCAAAAGACAGTGAGGGAGAGCCGGAGCTTGGCTGGGTTTGAGAGGTGGGGGAGAAGGAGGAGGCTGGTTCTCTTCTCCCTCCCAGTGACCGTGCCATTCCTGTGGACTTGAACACCATCCTTATGATAGTGACTCCCAAACTTACGTCTCCAGCCCAGTCTCACCTCAGGCCTCACCGCCCGCCGCCTCCTTGGCTTCTCCACTGCCTCACAGATATCCTGCGGGTTCAAAGAAAAGTCTTGATTGGCCCCCAGCTCCCCCTCCCATCCTGTCTTTCCACCTTAGCGACAGTACCGTCCATACAACCCATCAAGCCAGATGCCTGGGAGTGGCCTTGACTCCTCCTTCCATCCATTCCTTCCATCCTGTGACCACTCTGTTGCAAGTCCTAACATTTTAAAATGCATTTGAATCTGTTCACAACTTACTAGACCCCCTGCCATCACCTTAGCCACAGTCACTGTCATTGCTTGCTCAAACCAGCAGTCTAAGAATGGAATGCAGAAGATAATCAGTTGAGGTCCAGAAAATACCAGACCTTCTACTTATATTTATTGTAGCATAGGCTTTGTAACTTATTTTTTGTGTTTATTTCATGATGCACATTCCATGTTAGTATGGCAACTGATAATAGCCAACACTTAATGAGCACCTACCATGAACCGGCCCCTGTTCTAAGCACTACGTGTTAATTGGCTCATATAATTGTCCCAACAACCAGGTTGCTATTATTGTTATAATATTTATTTTGCAAATGAGAAAACTGAAACACAGGAGTTATAAATCCACAAGATCACACAGCTAACAGTGCTTGTGGCAGACGCAGAGATGTGCTGCATTTATCCCTCTTGAAAGGACTCCTCGCCCAGCTGAGTGGAGGTGATGGGCTGACAGCCTCCGGTTCATTCTTTCAGGCGCCCTCAGCCTTCTCAGTGCAGTCCCAGACAATGACCGAGCAAGGTGATGGCACAAGGGCCTCGGCATCTCCACCCAGAGTGGGACTCCTCCAATGGGCTCTCTCCTCCAGCTGCCCTTTGGGCTAAGAGACTTCATCAACCTGTTTCACAGCTAGCAGTTTCCTCTGCCCAGTCCTGCTCACTCCTTTCCTCCATAAACCCTCTTGGTCCTCACTGTGTCTCATTGTCTGCTTCCCAGTAGCCCCAACAGAGATGGTGGCCGAGCCAGGATCCAATGCCTAGGCACTGTAGATGATTCTCTGTGCACCGCAACACCCTGTCCCTCCTTCTGTCTTTGCATTTGCCACATGGTGTTTACACTTTTGGTTTCTGAGTCTGGTATGTGTGTGTGTGTCAAAATATATATAAGATAAAATTTGCCTCTTCTACCATTTTGAAGTGTTTTTACTAGTCGTCCAAGAAATTGCTTATTAAACTGAAGAATTAGAATTTCTTTTGAGATAACCTGGAAAAACATGGAAGAGGTTGCCAACCCAAAGTCAATGGTACCAGAACTGCAATTTGTTTAGAGTAGCAAAGTGCACAACTGAGAAATAGATGCACACTTGCCGGCCTCTCATTCAGATTGAGGCGGCCATTTGACAGTTGCAGCGAATAAGATGTAAACCAAAGACTAACGGTGATTTCTCGGCAAAGATGACATTCCTGAAATGGTGCTGCCACTTCCTCTTTTTTTATTCCTTCTACTTCTCGTCTGTTAATTGTAAAACTTGGTTGAGTTCTTTTGCTCTTTGCAGTTAACATAAGTCTTAACTGATACAATGGTCAAAGGCACGCAGGCTTGTACCTGAGCCTAAGATCCCAGAGACAGTCCGCTGAGGAAGGATGGTAAACAAAATAAACAGGAAGTACTTACTGAACACCTACAGTGCTCTGGAAATGCCAGCCTGGGCGTTTTCAGCATTCTCTGGTTGTTACAGAAGGGAGACGAAGGAAATCCCATTTAAGGTGGCTTGGATAAAGCCACTAAAAGGCAAATAAAAGAATGAGGAAAATCAATGGAGTCTTGGAGCCTGATCAGACATATTTTTGCCCTCCATGGGAAAATAGCATATGTCCACACTGTAGCCAAGAAATTTAGGATTAGAAATTGTAAAGGGTGATCTAATCCTAGATTATAAACCAGAGATGTAGAGAAGGATGAAGAGTAAAGAAAAAGACACATTTGTACGTAATATCTTTCGCAATCTATTTAAATGAACGTTGAAATGAAAACAATAATATAGAGAATAAAAATACCCGATGACAACAGCATCTATGTTTGAGTGGACCATAGAGTGAAAGCGTTCTGAGGTCCTTGTATCCAGTCGTATCTAGTCACGTGGTAATGAAACTGCAGAAAGCCGAAGAGAGAGCCTCTTGAAAGTAATCCCTTGGTTGATGAGGGAAAGTTCTTCTTTATTGAAGAATCTCAGCTAATAACTGCAGAAAGAAGGGTAGTATTGGAAAATCACCATTTTGCAGCTCCCTAATAAAATAATGGATCTAGTCAACAATCACCAATGGCTGCAAAACATCATTAAGTGAAAAATTGATGGGGAACTTTATAATGGATCAATGGAAAACACCTGAACTCACAGGTCAATCTTAACTGCAGCAAAATTTGGATAACCAGACATTATGTGGCTCCTAATGTGATGCTATAGGGAGTATTCAGCAGCCACCTACGAAACTGTGTTGCCCACCCCCCCAAAAAACTTGAATCTGAATCTCATCAAGGCTCTAGGTCTACCAGTTGACAGGAAATGTGGAGGATGACATCACAAAGAGATGATCACCCGAACCCAGAATGTAGGAAAATTCTACAAGACAAATGACCCGGTGTATTCATTCAGGTCCCAGCAGGAAACAGATGGCATACTCAAATTAGGTAACTTGAAGAGAGCTTAATCAAAGGACTATTTACAAAGATTTCAGCAGGATGTAGGGAAACTAGGAGGGAACAAGGGGTAGCATGGGACCCAGAGCTAATCACAGCTCCAGAGACATTACCACTCTGTGGATGAAGGGACAGGAAAGGGAGCAGATACTGTAAAAGGGGTACATGGAGAGAGCAAGAGAGAGGGAAGGGAAGGAGGGAGAGAGAACAAACTATGTGACGAGGGTCTCATGACAAGGACTGTGACCTTCAGTTGAAAGACACAACAACCTAGCCAAGAAATATTGTACACTGATGGTCGGAATAATGGTTACACTCTATTTGGAATAAAATAGAAAAGGGAGGAAGAAAGATTTAATTCTGACAAAAATAAATTTAAGAATCTCTTCTTTTAGCTGCCAGTATTTCAGCATGGAACTGAGTGTTGACAGGTGAGGTATATTTTACATCCAGGACTGACGCAATGGATTCCAACCTTTGTTGCTGTGTCCACTCCTGGCCCTCAGTCAGTTCTCCACTTAGTAGGCAGTGTCTTTGAAAACTGCAAATCTGGTCTGGAGGTTAAACTGCTTGAAACATTTCAGTTGCCCTTCGATAAAGATTTTCAGCCTAATTCATAGGGCATTCCATGATCTAGCATTTTCTTGCCCCTCTAGTCCTCCTGCCCTTGAACGGCTTTACCCCAGCCACACTGGCCACCCTCGGAATGCCATGAGCTTTCCTCCTAGCAGACATTCATGGATGTGGTTCCTATGGTCTATGAGGTGTTTAGGGCTCAGCTGCAGGAATCAGAATTCGCTCCAGTTAGCTTAAGCAGAAGGGGACTTATTAAGGATATTGCACAGCTCTGGAAGCAGTGTCAGGCCTGGAAAAGAAGACTAAAGAGAACCTCGAGAGCCTCGGCGGCTTGGCCACTGGAGGAATTTTTGCCTCTTCTGCCATCAGGGCGCTGGCAGCCAACCTGGGAAGCTGCCCCTGCAGCTGCTGTCTTCCAGGATTCGGAAACCACTCAAATTGGCAAACAGCCACAATCTAGAAGCTAAACGACCAGGAAGTCACCACGGTCAAGGGGTGCCTCAGGAAAGGCAGATCTCCTGTTTATTCACCAGTAAAAGTCACAGAAGGAGGGAGGCGAAGCCACTTGATCACTTCCGTCTTCTGAATCCTGAACGAGTGCCTCTGACTGATGGAGCGAATTCACGTCCAGAACCTGTCCTACATGGAAACCTGGGAAATGTGTTTTTTAGCTTTCCAGTCTACACATTCTGGAAGGAGGTTGGAGGTGATATTGAGTGCCAAAAGACCACGTCTGCCGTAGCCTGGAACCTGGCCCAGTATTACTCATCCTTCAGGTCTGGAGTCAGACTTCACCTGCTTAAGAAGGCATGCCCTGACCCCCAGTCTATTTAGATGCCCCATCTCATCCCACTCCTTGCTGGAAATATCCATACCACTCTGTGATTCCCATTACAAATTACACAGTCACCATCCTCCTACTCTGAGAACGTGTCCGTCTCCCTGCTAAGCTTCATGATGGCAGAGATTTTATCTATCCTGATTACTCTTTGTACCCTCAATAGCTTGCCTAGTGCATGGCACATTATAGTCTCTTTATATAAAATAAATGAGTGTGCTGAATGAATAAATAAATAAATGCACGCAGGAGAGGATGGGAGTATTATAGAACAGCTTGTAGTAAGACAAGTACAGACATCAATTGGAGGAAAGTTCCTCCGACATGGGAGGGAGTGACAGTCTCTGATTTGTTTTGCAGGAGTGGATACAATGTTAAGTTTGAAGTATGGCAGGCCTGCATACCTTCTGGAAATGTCCATCACATTTTCTTCAGCAGCCTTTAATGGAACCAAATTCTCCTGAGAGAATGACACTTCCCATTCACTGACTCCAGTAAGGAGCATCATTCCCAGGTACTTGACTTTGAGGAGGCTGGAGATGAATGAGATGCTCAGAAGCCTAAAAGACGCAGGAGTGGTCTTTGTTCAGAGGTTGCCCACTGCCCAGTTCTCAGAGCAGACTGAATCTCAGAGAAGGAACATTTCCCTTACAGCTCTTGGATGGATGTGTTTTGAAAACAGACTTACTTCTCCAAGGATTTGACCTGACAACTTGTTCGCCTGTGAGGGTTGGATCTGTGTGGAAGCCTAGCCCTAATACTGAAAAGTTTTACTTTTCTGAAGAAAGGGACTGAAAGGCAGCTACATGTTTGGCACAGTAATGCTAAGGCTCTGGCACAAAATCAGTCTGTCAGAAGCTCCTTTCCTCTGGATAGACGGACCAGTGACACTGGATGGACTAAAGTCTTGTCTCAAATGAATGTAGAGCCCACTTCGGGATTTCCAGCCCCTCTGCCTCTGGCTCCAAAGAACTGGCTTTACCATTGACGTTGTTAACAGCAAGGTCAGTGACGGGGGATCAAAGCCCAGGGGAGAAACTGGGGCTGGTCAAGGGGGAGCCACCTGCCACAGAGCTTGGTTTTAACATCTGTTGTCTAGGGTCACACTTCTCCAAAAGATACACTACTGTGGTCAAGATCAAGGTCACATGGAAAAGAGGTATTCATAAGAAATTCATAATATGTATGTGTACATATATATGTGTGTATATATATATATATGTAAATCTGTAACATAGCTATTTATAAAACATCAATAAACAGTGGTTGTGGCATGTAAGATGCTAAAGGTCCTCTTGTGCCTCATTCTTGCTTGATCTCATGATTGATCCATTCACCCCCAAATTCACCCCACCCATGAATCCTCCTTTGTAATTAACTAATCTATGAAACCTTTTATTTTTTCTTTCAGTGCTGCTACTTTCTTTGGTACTACTTTCTTGGTTTAGATAAATCATTCAGAATAGAGCTCTGGAGTCAGACTTTCTCAGTTTAAATTCCAAATCCACCACATGCTGCTGTGTGACCTAGGAAAATTGACCTAATTTCTCCCTGTCTCAGCTTCTACTCTGTAAAGTGGAGACTAAAATATAACCATGTGGAATTCCTGTGGGAATTAAAGGAGGTAATCCATATAGCATTTAAAACTGTGCTTGGCATATTATAACTCCTCAATGGTATTCATTATCCTTCTTATAATTATCGTTATTAATATTCACTTGTAGCATTCTTTTACTCTTTAGAGACATCGCTTTCATGGATTTTATGTAGTTAGTCAAATTTATGGTTTAAATGACAGCTGCATTAAAATTATCTCCCCCCTTCTCCATTCTAGGACTTTAAAGACAGCAAGTGAGCATGGGTTGATCTCAAGATGAACTGGAACTGAAGAAATCGAAATTAGAAACCAAATGTCCATATTTCAGAGAAAAGAACTTTACCATTGATCAGTTGCCCTGGGCAGTAAGAAACAGATCGGGCACAAACTGGCTTAAGCTGGAAGCAAACGAATTAGTTCACGTAGAAGGTGTCAACAGCAGGGTGGGCTTCAGGGTGGGTGGATTCAGAGGCTTGAGGGCATCATTCTGTTCCTCGGTTCCATTCTGTCTCTCCTCGCTGTCCTCCATAGCACCGGCCTCATGCTAAGTCTGGTTCCCTTGTGTTCGAATGGTGGCTGCCAATGGCAGTCGGGACACGTGTTTTCTTTCCCACCCAGGGAGGGAGAAGAAGAGGCTAGATACCCATGACACATTCTTCCCTGGCGTCCCCAGGAGCCTCTGCTCATGACTCAGGGGCCTCCCGGAGAGGAGATGGTGGTCCCAGGCTTGCGCAGACCCATCTGCTGGCGCGGAGTGGATGTAGCCTCTAGGATCACACGAAGAGGTTTCAGCTGTGCTGGGGCTTCCCCACTTTCATGTTCCTTGAGTGTAAACTAATGGGGCTGTTCTGTTTGTCTATTGCTATACAACAAATGACCCCAAACTTAGTGGCTTGAAGATACAGTCATTTTATTGTATCTCCCAATTTACGGGTCATGAATTCAGGCAGGACCCAGCTGAGAGATGCTTCAGCATCACATGGCTTGGGCTGGGGTCACTCAGCGGTATTTGGCTGGCAGCCAGGCTGGTCCGAGGGTCCTAGGATGTCATCACTCACATGATTGGCACCCTAGCGATACTGGGGGCTGGGCTCAGGTGGGCGCCTCTCCCTCATTGTGTGGGCCCTCTCCTTGTGGTCTCTCCAGCGGAGGAGCTGAACTTCTCACGTGGTGGCTCAGTTTGCTACACAGCTGCAAGTGACAGAGAAATTGTGAAATACAAGATGATTCCCAATGATTTGACATGTCATCTCCACTGTCCATAATAAACAAAAAGAAACGGGCATTCAATTTTAATAATAGATGCTTTGTTTTTCTCCATGCCCCCTAAATAGATGTGTCCATTTTTAAAATATCTGTTTGAAGAGATGCCGCTTTGCCATACTGTCCAGGGTGCCGGCGTCGCTGGCTCACCCTGTATGGTATGACTGTGGGGTTATCTTTCCTTCCCATCACCCCTGCTTGGTCTAGGGCATCATCACGTCTCCCATGCTATCCCAGTAGCCTCCATCTGACCCTCTGGCACCAGTCTCACCCTCTTCCACTCATCCTCTACATGTTTTCCAGTGTGATTTTTCTGAAACAAATCTGCTCAGACCATTCTCTTGTCTAAAGTCACTATGGGGTTCTCTTTTACCAACCAGATAAAATTCACTCTTGAGTATGGCTTACAAGTTCTTTTATAAGTTGTTCTTGTCCTGGATCAAATACCCTGATTATTACTGGAATATAAGTTCCAAGGAGGCAGGAATCCTGTCTCTCTGGTTCATTGCTTTATCACCCTCACTGAGACCAGACCTGACACACAGAAGGTGCTTAAGAAGTATTTGTGGGAGGAAGAGAAGGTCAGAGGAGGGAAGGAAGAAATGAAGGATGTTAGTTCCTACAGCGCCCTGTGCTTCTTCTATTCATAATGTTCATTTCTAGTTTAAGGCCTGGCTTCCTCAGTAGACTGTAAGTTCCAAGGGGGCGATGAGCACACCCAGTTCCCTATTCCTAGCACAGTGCCTGCCACAAAGTAGGTGCTAGAACAATTTCTGAAATAAATGAATTAATAATACGATAAGGGCTCATGGCACAGACACAGAGCAGGGAAAGCCTGAAGGACAGGCCAGTTGCCTCGCTGGAGTTTAGAAATGGGAATGGGAAGAGGGCAGGACATGAACGAGTCCTTGGAAGGCAATGCCAGTGGCTTCTGATTCGGGGCCCTGGCTCATGGGAGTCTGGGTAATTGGTCACCTTTAAGCCTGTGGCTCTAGGGGGTTGAGTCCTGTGCTCAGTCCTCATATCCCTTTCGTGCATCCAATTTTCTCTTTTGGCACAGGTATCCAACCCTGCTAGTTTTTTTCCATGAGAGCGAATCTTCTGAAGTGAAGTATGGACTGCCTTGTCTCAACCTCCTGGAATATGACCTCATTCCTTCCCCCGCTGGGTCCACTCATTAAGCAGCCTGCCCATCCTGCTCCATCAGGCAGCCTGCCAGGCATGCACTTGGCATAGGAGTCCCAGTTCAGGGCCAAGGCAGCCTTTACTGTTTAAGAGCGTGGACTTTGGAGTTAAGCAGACCAGGGTTTGGAGCCTGAATCCATCACTCACTAGCGGTGTGGTCTTGGGCAAGTTTCTTATCTCTCTGAGCCTTGACTTCATTATCTGTAAAGTGGAACCAACAAAAGTGCCTAATTCATAATGTATTTGTGAGGATCAAATTAAATAATCCATGAGCCTACCCCAGAGAGAGCTTCATAAATGTTGAGCATTACTTTTCTACTCAAGAACTTCTCTTGCCCTTTGGCAGGTCATGAATTTCCCTGGGATGGAGCAGTGGTGGAGGGAGAAAGGGGGGAGGGGAATTGGCACGTATTGAGCACCTATGATGTACCAGGTGCCGCACTGACATATCTGCGAGACTTGTCTCCCCCAAACCACATGACAACCGCGTGTTGTCGAGTGAACATCAGCCCCATTTTCCAGTGGAAGGGATGCAGATTGTAGAGTCGACAAACCTGGGTTGGAATCCAGGTTCTGAAACTCACTTGCCATGTAAGTCAGGGCAATGCCCTTCCCCTCTTGGGGCCTCGGTTCCCCAGCAGTTGTGGCAATTCCTGTCTGGTAGGCTTGCTGTGCAGGTTTTACAAGCGAACACTGTGTAAAAACACTCAGCCAGATGATGCTTAGTTCATGTGCTTTATTCCCACGAGAGCCCCTGGTTGAGAGCTGGGCTTGAATGGAGAGGGGGAAAACATGGAGATATGCCAGGAAGGGGACCCCAGGGCATGAGGATTCTGGAGGGGACACACTTCTCTTACTCCCTGAGAAGTGGGCTGCTATTAACACCATGAGTGGACTTCCCCGTTGGACTGGCAAAAAGATTCAGATGCCAGCTGGCTCCATCCCCTACCTTTCTGGGCCCAGGACCTGAGAAGGGATGGTAATGATACAGCAGGAAAGAGTTCAAACAGCAGATCTGAAGGTCAGCACACCTGGGGTTAGCTCTGGCTTTGCCACTTATCAGCCACGTGACTTTGGACAAGTAATCCTAATCTCTCTGAGCCTCGATTCCCCACCCAAAATGGGGATACTGTCATGTGTTCTGGTGTCTATCGTTGTAAGACAAACCATCCCCAAATGTAATGGCTGACAACAATGATCCCCTCTCAGGGTTCTGTGTTGCCTGGGCTCGGCTGGGGGCTGCTGCTTGTGGTCTCAGGCCATTGCAGTTGGCTGGCTGGGGCCGGAGTCATCTGAAGGCTCAGCGGGGCTGGACATCCAAGGTGGCTTTCCCACTCGCCTGTCCAGCATTTGAACTGGGAGCGCTGGCAGGGCACCTCTCTCACCGCGTGGCCTCTCCACGTGCTGCCTGGGGCTTCTGCACACAGGTGGGCTCAGGGCAGCCAGATTTCTCACGGGGCAGCTTCTCACTCAGCCTTGCAGGTCTTTGTGTCCATTTCGCTGCAATCTGCTGGATACAGGTGACACTCAGCCAGCCCAGATTCAAGGGAGGAGGGTCAGGATTTGCAGCCACCTTTAAAGCGCTACACCACACAGCCCGCGTCCCTCACAGGGCTACTGTGAATGTGAGGAAAGACGTGGGAAGGTCCTTGGCGAGATCATTAAAGAGACATGCGGTTAGTGTTCCAGATGCGTCCTTCCTCTCTCCCTAAACCAGGCCCTCATCCTCTCTCTCCCGTACTAGTGGCCTCCAGAGTTGTTTCTCTGACTCCGCTGTCACCCCATTGAGTGTATCCTTCATAAATACCTGCCTCAGTGATCTGTCTAAACTGAAAGTGCATGTGCATGTGTCCTCTAATGGAAAACCAGCATTAGTGCCAAGGCCCTTTGTGATGTGGCCTGGCTCACCTGTGCAGCCTTGATGGCCACATACTCCCAACACCCTCACCGTATTATTCTGTTCCACCCGGTAGTCCTTCAGTGTCTTTGCTCACACCATTCTTTCTCCCCACAACTCCCGTCTCCTTCTGCCTTTGCCCAAACTCCCACTTTTCTAGTAACCCTTACTCATGTTTTAAGATTCCCCTCAAACGTCTTCACCGAGAAGACCGTCCACTCTCCCTTTCCACCACTGCTCCACATACCTGTTGGATTCAAGTACCCCTCTATGTGCTCCCATAAATCCAGTCCTCACTGCAGACTGGCCTTCTTGCCATTCCCCAAGCATGTCAAGCATGTTCCTGACTGAGGGCCTTCGCATGTGCTGTTCCCTTTGCCTGTGATGATTGTTTCCTAAATGTGCACTACATAACTGGCTTCCTCACTCATTCAGGTCTCGCTCGGATCTCACCCGCTCAGAAAAGCCTGCCCTGACTCGCCTATCCAAATAGCACACCCTCCATCCCTCTCCATCCTCTTGACTCGCTTCTTGCCTTTCAAGGTGCCTGCCATCTGTCTCAGTGTCTACGCAATGCTGTGCTGCAGCTGCCCCGCACCAGCTTGCGAGAGCCAATTGCTTGCATCTCCCAAATCGGTGTTCAGTGATGCCAAGTTGGAAGCTTGAAATTAGCCATGGGGAGAGTATTGACACAAAGAAAAGAACCAAATGCTACAAATTATGGTATTCTCTATTTTTTCTGGAGAACCAGTTGTTAAACACCTCCCTGTATACTCCTGTGTATACGTGTTTGTTTATTGATGATCTCCTCCACTAGATTAGAATTTCCATAAAGGTAGAGATTTGCTAATTCTGTATTCCCAGCATGTAGTGCGGTCCCTGACACAAAGTGCGTAATCAATAACATTTGTTGAATGAATGAATAAACATGCAAACCATCTAATGAGTAACAATAATTACACCGAATTGTGTGTTGAGATCCATGAAAGCAAAAATTGGCTCTTTTTTCATCTTTTGCACCTACCAGAGAGCCTAGTCCATAGAAGGAGCTCAGGAAATGTTTATAAACAAGTAAACACTCTCTGCAAAGGGCTGTATTCAGGTCAGATCCAGCTGCACCCTGATGAGCATCAAAAAACTGGACTGGACACCTCCTCCAGTATTTTCCATCATGTGCCAAAGACAGAAACAAGTACAAGACCATCAGGGAAAAGGCGCTCACCTGGGCGGCGGGAGCCCAGGGCGCGGATCCCAGGGCTGCTGCATGTGCTATCTGATCTTGGGCAAGTCTCTTCCCAACCCGCCCCTCAGTCTCCCTGTGGGTAAAATGAAGCACTTGGGAATAGATGGCGGGGCCCCTCTAATTCGCAAACTGTGGTTGAGTCTGTGTCTGGAGCTGCCCCGGGCAGGGCTGCTGTAAGGTAGGACAGAAGGTGGCAGACCTGGCGGAACTGGCTTCCTATGGGTACAGGAGTCAGGGTGTTCCCAACCCCCATAAGTGGCAGATGGCAGAGGGCTCCAGAGTCCAGAACACTGGTAGTTGTGGGACAGGTCCTTTGTCCTTCCCGTGTCGCTACCCCCGCCCAGAAACCAGGGCCTGTGGGCCCATTGCATCTCCTCCCACCTGCCTCTGCGCCATGACGCTGGCACCTGACCTGAGGCTTCCCTGAAAACGATCTGCGCTTTGCCCACTTCGCCTCCTGGCACTGGACGCGGATGGACAGGCCTGGCAGCGGAGAGGAGCAGGGACGCTCCCCATTCTTGGTAGCCTCAGCTTATCATGACAAACAGGTTGGCTGAGGTGGCCTGCCAGCACCTTGCTTCCTGTTGTCACTTGTGCTCCGTGGAGGTGATCCTGCCGCGGAAGAGCCCTGGTTTTGACAGGAAAGCTGGCACTTGCTGAGTCTTCCCGTGTGCCAGGTGCTGCTCTGAGCCAGGGCGTGGCAGGCAGGCTACACACCCGGGGTGAGTCCTACGTTTGTATGAGCCCCTGTTTGTAGGGTCCGTGAGCTAAGAATGTATTCTCCATTTTAAATAATTCTTTAAATACCTCCATAATAGCCTTGAATTTTGCTCCTCAGCCCACAAGTCTGAAATATTTACTATCTAGCCTTTTAAAAAAACAGTTTCTAATCCCTGCTCAAAGTTTTAACATGGATGAACTCCTAATCCTCACAATAACCTTACGAATAAGTAAGTTACTATTCCTCCCATTTTACCGATGAGGAAACAGAGGCACAGAGAAGTTAAGCGGTTTATTGAAAGTCAAATGGCTGGTAAATGGCGAAGTCAGGACTTGAACCCAGGCTGCTGGCTTCTGAGTTCCTTCTTAACACCAAACTGCTTGATGTTTTCACTAACTGGCTGTGTGACCTTGAAGAAGTCATTTCTCTGCCTCTGTTAAATGAGGTTAAAAAGGCACCAACCCCTGTCAGAGTTCTGACTTGGGGTAGGGGGGCTTTGAAATCAGCAGACTGCAGGAAACCTGTGATGCCTTTTCTGCAGACCGTGCAAAGGTCTGGGTTTGTGCACAGTTCCATTTATTTGAGGAGAGAAGCCATCATTTTCCTCAGAAATGGATTCCATGACGCAAAACAGATTAGAACCACTGCACTAGCTTTTCTGGAAAGGTGGCTCCAGCTTTAACATTCCTTGATGTTATTGATTTGGGATGTCATTTTTGTCCCTCAAATGTTATCCGTAGGTTGTGCCCAAATGTTATTTATTCCAGTTTTCTTTTTTATGTAAATGTTATCTATTATGTTCCTCTCTGCACCCTCAAAGTTCTACACACTCATCATTGAGAAAAATGAGAAAAAACAGGCATGCTTAAGAGCAAGTTGGGTTTTTCTATTGATGTATTCTGCAATTCTGGGTGAATAATCCATGTTAGTGAGAAGAACAGGAACTGTGCTTTATAATCCCTTATTGTAATTATTCATAGGATTCTACACTATTTATTCAACAAATCTGTACTGAGCCCCCACCAGGCGGTCCTTGCTGCATAGACCATGAGCTCCTCAGAGTTGGGGTTAGGCGCTATTTGCCTTTTACCCCCTCAGCCTGGCACAGGCCTGGCCCTTGGTGGGCACTCAGTAAGGGTTTGAAATGCATCACTGATGCCCGGCAGGCTGGAGAGATGGACATATGAGAAATCAGCAGCGTGGGTGGGGAATGGGGCCGCCGGGGGCTGAGCAGGTGAGTTCCATTGGCTCCTGGTTGCCTCCCAATTGACACCGGCCCGTGATCCTAGAGATTTGAGGGCCGTCCTCATTTTCCCATCAGTCCTGGTGTGAAAGGTTATAGCTGAAGTTCAGCTGACAGAGCCAGGACTTCCCACATGAATCCAAAGACATGAGTCCAATTTCTTGCATCCCACTTAGGCCAGAGGAACAATGGGGGTTTTCTGGCGCTTTGTCCAGACCCCAACCTCCCCACGTTAGAGAACAATGAAGTCTCCTCTCTGATGCCTGCTCATTCTCCCTGGACTCCCGAACTTTTCCTCTCTCCCCCTCCTCCTCGCTTCGTCTTCCGTCCCACTGACAGCTAGTGACTCAACTGCTGAGAGTGGGAGTGGAGTGCAAGATCCTGAGCTCGTTCGCTCCCAGAGTGATGGGCCCGGGAGCATCAGGAGACGAACAGCCACAGAGGCAGGGAAGAGCAGAAGGGCAACCACAGTGGAGGACCGGGGTGGGGGGGGGGTGGTATGTGCGCCCGTGGGAAGGGCGGCACCGGAGCTGGGGAGAGAATCTCCTGCTGGGAAGAGCGGCAGGTTCTGTCCTCTCGAGCTTTGACCAGCCACTAACTTGTACTAGGCTGGACTTCCTTCACCTGCCCAGGGCTGACACTGCCTTGTCCGCTGCCCTAAAAGGGTGAGTTCAACCAAGACTACGTTGTTGGATGAAATAGAATCTCTATCATTACTTGGATTCCGTTGAGAGACTATTGTGATGCTTTGATTCGGCAGCTGGAGAAGAAGAAGAGATTGAGATGTGGTTTGAGCTTGTACACTAGTGAACTTGTACAAAAGTGTGGTGGAGTTTAAAACATTTGCGGTCAGGAAATTCACATGTCTG